GGGAGTCACAACACCTCCCCTGCCTGGGCCCTGTGCTCCATCAGCTTTGCCTGAGCACAGAGAGGAGCAGCAGGACTTACTAATACTCCGTTACATCCCTTCAGAACTGAAAACCAGCCGTGGGAGCTTTCACATTGCACCACCTGCAAGATTGAATCTAATCACATATTTTATCTGTCTTCCCTTTGTATCTAAGGTGAAGCCAGCACTGGCATGACTCAGTCTGTCAAATGGAGCCACTTGATCAGGTCAGTGGAGAATCAAACCCCTAGAGGCAGCGCACCCAGGCCCTGGCCTGGGGAGAAGGGGGTGGGCAGGGCTACCTATGCAGGAGCAGAACACAGCCACCGAGGGAACAAGTCACCCGAAATCACACAGGTGTGTAACAGTTACAAACCACCCAGGCTCAGATGGAGACTGCGGACGAGTGAATATTAGAGACCCGAGTCTCTCTGCTAACACTGGGAGGCAGTGCAGACCACGGGGAGCAAAGCAGACTAGGAAGCTGGTCGGAGGCTCCCAGTCCTGCCATGCGAGGAACCAGAGGCACACTGATTGGCAATGACCTGCCCCAGGCCCCACAGCTCACTCAGGGGTAATGGGAGGGCCCAGGGCCTCACTCTCAGTCCAAGCTCCTTCTACAACCCAAGACTCTCTTTCCTTTGACTTTCCCTCTGCCACTGCTGTTTCAGAACCATACACACAACACCCTCCATTTCTCAGGGGTAATACCCGGGGTGTCCCCAAGAGTTACATTCTCAGAAAGGCCCTTTCTGACCAGCCAGCCTAAAGCAGACGCCAAGCCCACGTCCCGTTTCATTTTGATGTCAGCACATACTTTCCCACTCGTTCTTCATCAACTACCGCCACACAGCACCAGGAGAGTGGGGAGCTCCTGTGCCTCCTCCCACTCTGACCCAGGCTCACAGCCTGGCTTCCCCTGTGCGCCCAACACATGCTGAATGAAGCCGGGACAAGTCAACTACTATACATGTCAGTCTCTGAACTCCTAACACAAGAGAAGGTGTGGGGAAGAGTAGAGTGTCATCATTTGTAATTTACTGAAATCTTTATGAATGCAAGTCAGCTCCTCTCTGCTCAGTCATTCATATACAATTGATTTCAGAGAGGAAGAGAAAAGGAGAGAGAGAGAGAGAGAGAGAGAGAGAGAGAGAGAGAGAGAGAGAGAGAGAGAGAGAATATATCATTGATTGGCTGCCTCCTGCATGCCCCCTATTCGGGGTCAAGCCCACAACCCAGGCATGTGCCCTTGACTGGAATCAAACCCGGGACTCTTCAGTTCACTGGCCGATCTCTATCCACTGAGCCAAACCAGCCAGGGCTGCTCAGTAATTCTTCTCAAGGGACCCCCAGGGCAGCTCTCTGAAGCAGGACAGTGAGGGGACAGTGGCTTCAGAGGCTGAAGGATGACCCAGCAGCCAGGGGGACCCCACCGTCTGGAGCCCCCGGGCGGCTGGTGGGAATTTTTGCTGGAGGAGGTGGGGCCGCTTTATTTTGTTTTCTTCTGGGACAGCTTAGCGAGGACACCTTAACTTTAGAAAGAAGCAGACGACAAGGAAGCACAGTGATAGTTATGACTTTTCTTTTTTTTTAAATGTTGTTTGGGATACACTCACTCTGGAACAAAAAAATATACTCTGCTTAATCTTCTAATGGAAAATACTAGGTGATGTTCATCAATAAGGACACAAATCCAAATACACACTCTGAAATACAGATTACATTTTCATGGTTTCTAATGGAAACAGCATTAGAGGTTTTGATGCACACAGACGGTGGAGCGAGTCTGTGAACACCAGTCCTCAGCGCCCTGCACTTGGAGGATGTTCCAATTGGGGAAGAGACAGAAGGGCGGACTGCTGTCCAACCTGCATCAGCACTTACAAAGACAACATTCTTTCCACACAAAAAAAAGTGCAAAACGTCCCACACAAGCTTGTGAGTGTGATGGCTGCTGGAATTACTTCTATTGTGATGTCACGAGCTCCCGGAGGCAGTGACTAAGCCATCTTTCTGCTCCTTGCTCCTAATCACCAAGCGGGGAGGCCTCCAAATAGGTCCTAGGATCGCAGCTGTTTGGCTGAATTAACGATGAGCACCTGTGACATTTTTTTGGATTCTTTGCTTGGACACCTAGATGAAGGAATGACCCTCTTTCCAAGCAGAGAAAAGCCTGCCTCTCCACATTAGTTTAGAAGGGTTGTGTTTTAAATGATTTTGAGAGAGAGAGAGATGGAGAGGGATTTGTTGTTCTCTTCATTTATGCATTCATTGGTTGATTCTCACATGTGCCCTGACTGGGGATTGAACCCACCCCCTTGCCCTATGGGGACAATGCTCTAACCAGCTGGGCTGCCTGGCCAGGGCTGGAAGAGTTTTGATATCACAGAACTCCGGCGATGGGATTCTGAAGAACCTGGGAGTCTGAGTAAGGTCAGGGAGCTGCACGGAGGAGAGGGCACCTGAGTCGGTCTCCTCCACGAGGGAGAAGGAGGGGGGAGGCGGGCATACGTGGCACAGAAACAACTGCAGGTGGTGCTATCATCCCCATTCCATAGAGGAGGGGAACGGAGATGAGAAAGCTGAAGGAGAGCCCTGGAGGGTGGCTCAGTTGGTTGGAGCATCATCCCAGGCACCAAAAGACTGCAGGGTCACTTCCTGGTCAGGGCACACACATAGGTTTCAAGGTTCAATCCCCAGTCAGGCCACGTTCGGGAGGCAGCCAACCAATATTTCTCTCTGACATTGATGTGTGTGTCTCTCTCTCCTTTTCTCTCTCTCTAAAATCAATAAAAACATGTCCTTTGGTGAGGATCAAAAAAGGAAGGAAAAAAAAAAAAGCTGAAATAGATTGCCCAGGCAAACGGTGGATTTAAAATTCAGATCTCTTTGGTACCCAAACCTCTGCTGGCTCCTTGGGGAAACTCCATTGACATTTCAGCACCAAAATGTAGTTCTAAAGACTAAGTAGAATTACCTGGTTCCAGTCAAGAGCCAAACGGTCTGCCCGGCCCTCCAGGCACAAGGCAGTGCGTGCAGCAGCCTCCACCCACCAGGAACTGCTAGGAATTCTGCCCGGAATGGCCACAGGACTCATAAGGACCGGCAGGAGGGCAAGAGGGCAGAGAGCGAGAGAATGAAGGCTGAACTCTGAGGAGAGGGGAGAGGTGGGGCAGCACTAAGTGGTTTGCTCTTGATCCTACGGGCGGTGAAAAGCACGGCCTGTTTCAGTCGGGAAGTGACATAATCAGTCTGTGTTTGAGCCAATCCCTCTGGGAACTGGCAGGAAAAGGACCCAGAGGTTGCTGCAGTAATCCGATGGAAAGTTTGCACTCCTGAGCTGGGCTGTGGCAGCGGCGAGTGAGAGAGGAAAGCCAGACAGACCCAAGAGACAGAACGGACAGCACCTGGATGTGGCTGCTAGACAGACAGCAGAACCCGAGGTGGCTCCTCAGGAAGAGTCGTCACTGGGAGAAAATGCAGACACACTACGTTTTAAAGACTCAAAACTTAGCCAAGACCGAATCAATGTACAAGGCAGGTTTCCCAGGCTGGTGGTTATGAGGTCAAAAATAATATTGGAACAAAAAGAAGTGAAGTAAATGTTATAATCGCAAACAGTAGAGGGAGAGCTAGCAATGGTTACCAATAAAGAACAATCTTGGTAGCAGAATACAATTAATCAAGTAAGTAGTCCCCATGCCAGGTTTAGTAAACAGATAAACAAAGTACATCTTTCTCACTAGAAACAAGTGAATTACTTTTAAGTTAGCTGTGTGTCATCTCTATTGAAAGGAAGTCCCTAGAGAGCAGATGGTGCCGAGCTGAGACAGACTGGCCTGGCCTCCTCACCCAGGCCCAGGCCGGAGGAAGACAGCACTTTGCTTGCTGGTTTGTGTTGTTTGTTTGTTTTTTAAGGAGGCAGATTTGCCACTCCGAGTAAGGAACGACTCAGAAGAGAGTAAGGGAAAAGGGAATGGAGAAAGATTAAAGGAGCAAAGCAGGAAGAAGGGGAGAGATGAGATGAATGTACAATATATTGCAAATACATAGCCGGTATAAAAACCATCAGATTTTTTTTTTTTTTTAAGCGCTAATTTGATTTTGGTGGTGTTTCCTCTTTAAGGGAGCAATGCTGAGTGAGCAAGGAGAAGGTTCGCAAGCAAGTGCCTCTGTGTATAACGAACGTCAGCAGCGGGGCCAGAGAGTCGTTCTTACCATGTTTCAGATGTAGGCAGCTGTCATTCTGGGACCTGTACCTGCAGAAAATTGTGTCTTTAACAAATTTTTATTGAAGAGGTTTTGAACATTCCAAATATGTAGTAGCTACAACATCATGTGGACCTGTTTGCTTTACTTTTTTTTATGGTTCTTATACCAGCCGTTTTTATTTGTGCAGGACAAGTGACCTTACTTTTAATGAAAGAAAAAGGGGGAATAAATAGGACCTCACTGATTGATGCCTGGAATTAATGCATAGGAAAGATAATCCCTAACACCATGTTTTATATTTTTAAATAACTTAAACCACACACACACATACACAAAATATTCTCAGGGGGTATAAGGTAGCATAGTATAGAATCATCATAAAAAAATTTTACTGTGAAGAGTTCTGCAAATAGAAGAACAGAAGTAGTAATAAGGCAAAGAGAACACAGACAACAGAAGCAAAAACAAAGCAAAACAAACGATCACAGTTAACCAGGATTCCAGCTGACAGGGTTGGGGAGAGGGGTTTTTAGATGTGCCTGCACACAAAGTCACATTGAAAAGAAAGGTCTCCTAAAACATCTTTAAAGAATCTCAGGAGGAAAAGCAAAGTGGAAGCATCACAAGATACAGTTGCCGAATAAAGCAGTGTGTGTGTGTGTGTGTGTGTGTGTGTGTGTGTGTGTGTGTGTGTAGAAAGATGCAAACTACTTTAAAGGTGTTTGTCAGAAGCGTGAGGATTTACGGAAAAGTCACAGGGTGCCTACCTGATGTGGATTCCTGTAGTTTCTCTCTCTTCCTCTTCTTTTTCTTACCCTGGAAGAAGACAGGCACGGTGTCATGCTATAGACTGTACTGAGAACACGTGGGTGAATGAGATACAACAACACAGATGGGCAGTCAACGAAGAGATACAGATGCCTCATATTCATTCTCATTTGCTCTACACCCCCCTCCCCCTGTCCTCTCTCAAATCAATAAACACATCCTTGGGTGAAGAGAAAATATGTATGAAATCACATTAACAGTAAAAAAATAAGACTATACGACCGTCTTGAATGTATTTTGTGAATACATGAAAGCATGTGTTTATACACATCAAGGTAGTTTTTCTTCACGTCACAGGGCCTGACTGCTGAGGCCATAAGACTTAGGAAAGTTGACTGAACTATCCTCACAAACACCAAGGCCGCCGGCGGGAACTGGCGTGTGAGGAAGAGCAGAGTGGCCTCTGAGGCTATGAGTGCTCTGGGAGGGGAGCGGGCAGTGGGCGAGTGTACTGCTCACTGGCACCCCCATCGCCTTTTCAAATGGTTTTCACAAGGTGTAGGGAGGTTGTTTCATGTCGGGAACTGACTTCCTCCCTCTCTCCTCCTCCCTCCCATTCGTCCTTTAACACTCACCTCTCCTGCCATCTCTTCCAGGAACTGCTTCTCCCTCACCCCCCCCTCCCTCAGCGGGAGCTCACCGCCATACCTAACTCACCACAGGTAGGTGCTGCGCTGGGCTGTGTCCCCCGGTCCCTCCTCGCACAGCCACCCAGCACACACACCTAGAACATGTGGCTGCAGCCTTTGTGAAATAACCGAGACCAGCGGTCGCCAACCTTTCAGACCTCATGGACCTCAGTGGTCCGAGGACCACTGGTTGGCAACCACTGACCTAGGCCACATTTCAAGGACAAGCAGGTGTTTCAAGAGAACCCACAGGGATAGCAAGCAAAAAGAGCTACATCGTTTGGATGCCATAATGTCAACCTATGCAAAAAAACAAAAGTCATGGATGGCAAGCATAAAAATATTTTTCATAAAATTATATCTAATACTGAGGTTATTAAGCACTAAATTGAAAAGCTCTAATAAATACTTGGCTGATCTCACCTAAGAAAATGTGTGCACTGTTGTTGATTTATGAAAACCTCAGTTATAAAAGCTATGCACACAAATTGAAGTTATAAAATCTAAAGTGCCATAGAATAATAGGGCATTTTAATAGTAAATCTTTGAGCTATATTTACTATGATCTCAGTGAGGATCAGATTAGCATTCTGACACTAAAAGCTAAGCTAAATAGAGATAGTCCTGTTTAGACTACTCTTACACTGTTATTTTAAGAATACCTTTAGCTAAAGTGCTATCACTTGATTCACTTCTGTTTGCCTTAGTAATTAATAGATTTACTTTGCCTTAGTAATTAATAGACTTACTTTAAATTGTATGTAACACATAATGAATGGGTTTCCCCTTCATTCAGGACAATCCTAACATCAAGTTTTGCAAAAACAATTTCCTTTAAAAACTGCTGAGGAAAATCTTCCAAGGTAAATTCACATGACACTGGCTGCCTTTAAAACTTCTACCCATCTCTCCATATGGACAGAAGAGAGAGTGAGAGGGAGAGAATGTTTTTTTATCTCTTCTGAAAAGTAAAAACTCACTTCTCTACTTCAGGGTCAGAACCAGAAACTTCAAAGACATTCAAGATGTAATGCTCATCCATTCTATACAGGTTCATAGCACAGCACAGCCCTCCCCTGGGCCGGGGGGTCGGCCAGCTGCCCCTCCCGGGCAGACCGCCTCCCGGACAGAGGCAGCCCGGGTGCGAAGAGGACACTGCTGAAACCCTTTGGGCGGGAAGCAGATTCCCACTGAAAGGGCATGGCAGAGGCTCTGCCCAGAGACGCTAATTCTAATTACTGCCCCGGGACCAGAAGCCCAGGGCAGGGGAGAAAACTCTTCAACTCCTAGCAGACTCCTTCGGGAGGTGCTGGGAGACTGGGCCTGGTGAGCTTGTGGACTTAGAAAATTGCTTTTGCCAACATTTCAATGATAAGGTCTTTTAATTATTTTTGTATGAAAGAAAACATAAGGTGTTTTCTTACTTATTTAAAAAGTTTCATTTAAAAAATGTATTAGCACTTATAGCAAAAAAAAAAAAAAAAAAAAAAAAAAAGATTATGACAGCTCAAAGCTTTCAAATTGTGATTATGTTATGAAGTCTCTTCATTTCCAAACATAGGACACAGCACCAGCATCGGACACACAGGGAGACACACGTCCTCCCTGAAAGCCGTGGGAAGAGAGGATGAGGGACAGCAGAGCCGTGGGCGCGGGGCGGCCTTACATAATTGTCTCTCGCAGACCAGCCTGGATAGAGCTGCATGTGAAGCTGCCTTTCCTTCCGCGCTAGTTCATAATACTTAGCCTGCTCTTCGCGGGAGAGGGCGTGCCACTGAAACAGAGGGGGAGAGGGGGACAAACAAAAGTGAGCAAAATAGACACAGTAGTATCGAGTTCATGTTTTCAACACTGAAGAACATTAAGCACTTAAACATCGATTTATTTGTAAATGGCAGGAGATCGGGAGCCGCAGACATCCCGCTGGAGTCTGGTGGCGGGAGCCGGAACTCCAGCCGTGGTCTCTCCATCCCGTTCTCTGATATCACAGGAAACACATCAAAGCCGACCCAAGGACCCAACGTAACAGGATCTGTCACCCGCCCTTTCTCCTTCCCAATACAAATGAAAAAGAACGTTCACGGCTGCACCTCAACGCCCAATTTAGCCCTTTTCATCGTGGGTAGCATATTCTGATATCTGAGCCCGAGTACCACTTATTTATGCAAAACGTGATAACTTCCAGATGTCTTTCCCACAGATACACCCTCGCTTCGCATGGACACTCTCCCACTGTCACACGAAGAGCCTGAAACCTTCATCACCATATGATCCTGTCCGTAAAGCAAGACATCAAAGCCGGTCTGCCCAGCCTCTTCAGCCTCTCCTCACACGTACAGGAATGCTCATGGTCTCCAGGGAGAACACTGATAACTTTGTACACTCTCCTTCACGGTGCTGAGTCTTCGCTGCCTCCTGATGGCAGGCAAGGAGCATTATCGAAGTTTACGTTGCCATCTAGGGAGTTTGAGGCAACAGCACCTACTTTGGGGAATACAGCTGCGATACCCTGCAAACTTCCCATTTGCCTTTCACATCACTGATATACACGTATATGGCAAAATAGCTTTACGTAGCACAAGGCATCCATTTGGGATTTTAAGTAGCTTATATTTGCACACTGCATATATTTGCCCACAACGTGCCCTAGGCCCCCACTAGGCAGATTCAAATATATTCCCTACTTCCTCAGCGCCCGGATCTGTCAGCAGAACCTTCCAGGAGACTGGCTGAGTTTTGGGGGACCCCAGTGGCAGGAGGTGATGGCACAGAGGCAGCAGGCCACGTGCACACCTCGCACTGGCCCAGCCTCCACTCCTGCTCTCCCAGCTCACTCCTTCCAGGCTTTCTCATTCATGTCCACCCTGAATATTGATTTTAATTCCCCTGTTCTTTATGAATGACAAAACAAGGAAAAAGAAATGACAGGTGTGGCTGGATGAGGGAGAGAAAGGAGGAAGAAGGGTGGATGAGAAAGTTCTCAGGAGGAAGCGATGTCTCAGTATGGACCGTATGGACCGGCCCCTGAAGGCCAGTTAGGAAGATTTCCTGGGGAAAACAAACAGCCGCTGCTCTAGTCTGCCACGAGAAGCCCATCTCAGAGGAGCACTGACACCCCTTCTGCCACATCCCACCCACCGCGCCAGCCTCCAGCAGGCCAGCTAAGTCCATGTCCTTTGAAAGCTGCTTAAAAACCAGAGCCACTGTGCTGGACAGGGTAGATGATTTGTTTTTTAATTGCTGTAGAAGTATAGAGTGTAAAGTTAAGAAGCAGGACACACAGCAGGACTTGGCCTGAACCTAAACCAGATAATGTGCTTTTCTTAAAAAAGAATTGGGGGAGGGGACAGAAGGAAACAAACAAACAAACAAACGACAAACAAAACACCTGAAAGCTACCTGAGGCCCAGTACACTGCACCAGCAGAGTAAACCCGCCGAGTCAAGTGGCGCCTCGGAAGAGGCCTGTCTGGGCCCGCCCTGGCAGCTTAAACCAGGCAAGAGAAGTCACGTGACATCTGCCGAGGGGCAGTGTTCCCGAACCTGAGACACTAGGCTGGCCTGGTGAGAGCCCTCCACAGGGAGAGGCAAACAAACTGAGCACAAGGGAAGAGGGCAGCCTGGATTGTTTTTCCTGTGCTGTGGTTGTTTGTTTTTTGAGAAAAGACTGATCATTAATAGTTACACTTCTGGTATGAAGTAACTGTGACTCGCAGGAGGCTAAGTGTTACCAAAGAACACAAAAGGAGGCAAACAGGGACTAAAGTTAGGAAAGAAGTCTTATCTTGTAAATTTGTTTATTCATTTGACAAATAATATCTCTCTAATGCTACCATAGCACGTCAATATAATTTTATGTAACGTATGGCAGCTTTATCACTTGCTGAGAAAACCTGAAATAAGTTTTATAAAACTATTTGCCACGTTTGGGAAGTTGGGTCTTCTACCCAAGCGACCGGGCATTTTTCAGTTCAAGCTGAAAACTTAGGGTTGACAAAAAACCCGAGCTAACTGAGCAAGCTGCAAGGAGAAAAAGCAGATCACAGATTAAACCATTTACTTGCATTTTTCAGTTCCTTTTAGTCTCCTGATGTTTCTAATGCTCAAAATCTACTCACAATGAAAGATCGTTCACCAGAGAAAAGGAGTAGGTCAAATAATGGTATTAAAGTTTCACACTGAAACAAAAATAAAGTCTAATACAAACTAGAAAGCTGATCTTTCTTTACAGGAATTTCTGAAACACACCTTGCAAAAAATGCTTTTCTATTGCTTTTGCTTACTGAAAAACTGAGCTAATTTTTAAAAAAATTAAATTTCATTGTCAAGATTTCACCAAGTTGTTGAGAAAATACCCACTTAACTTAAAGAAATTTATACAGTTCCAAGATTTTAAAATCCTGACAATACGTTTGCAATAAATGAACTTCCTCTAATAGCCTGGAAGGTTTGAAAAAAAAAAGTTAGATTTGTGTTATTATTTATAGTAATAATAAGAAAACTGATTAATTCCTACACATGAACATATCTACTTTAGAGAGTCAATAAAGATGCATAAAAACCCAAAGATAAACTGTTCAGGGATGAATTTAAGCTCCCTTTTAAGAATTACAATCATCCCAGCATAAAACGTCATGATGGCAAAGCCAGGGACTTTCAGGAGGAGCAGGGACTGCTCTGGCAGAGGGGAGCCATGAAAGGAGAGAAAACCTGATCTTACTCAGAGAGCTCAGAAACTATAAATAGAAACAGGTGTCCAAATCAAACACAGAGAGAGACCCCAAATGAGAACCATCCCTCAGGACACATGCTCTGATCTGGGGATGGTTAAGGGAGCCGAGAAAGTAGCAATTGTGGGAAACGTGCATGAAAAATAGGAAGCACGCTGCCATAGCATGGCCTTCCCTAGTCTCCTGAGCAGGAAAAGGATCCCTGCTGGAAGGACAGGGGACCTTCAACACACAAAAGGAAAACAAAACAAAACAAAAACACACAACCAAACAAAGAGTTTTACAGAAGCTGAAAGAACAACTCTTCTTTTCCTCTGATTTCTTCTCTTAAAGGGTCAGGGGAAACGGTCATCAGTCTTCAAGCTTTTAGGGTGGAGTTCTTCAAAGACGATGGAAGTCACTCATCGGCTTGGGAAATCATTGTAATTACTGTTATTAAGTGTTTAAGGATCCACGGGACACAGAGTATTGTGCGCAGGGCACTGAAAAGCTATAATCTGTCCCTGCACCCTGACCTGAAATCCTGGTGTCTTGCAGATTGGAATAGCTGCATTTTTTTTTGCCATCCATAGGAATCAATAATGTAAGAAAGCCTGCTCCCCTCTGCTAAAATCTCCTGAATGCTTTCTCTTATGAACGCTAAAATGTATTAGGTTTGTAGCAAACATGGAAAAAATGATCATCAATAACAGATAAAACATGGTCCTCTAAGTTTCACAAAGGCTGCTAGACCCCCATCGTTGAATGCTCATTTGCAAATCACCAATTTCTTGAGGTTTCAAAAACAAGTATACACCTGCATAGTTAAGAAGCCACTGCACATCTATGAAGAGCATCAACAACTATGATGAAGCATCTTCTAAAATTATAATGCAATTACAGAGAAAAATGTGATTTGAACTTAAAAATTTAATTTTTTCCCCACCACTCTTCAGATACCTAACTAAAAGCCTTTCAATCCAGAGAAAAAACCCTGGAAAAACGAACTAGCCTTTCGGCTGGTGATTGGATATAAAAACCTCAGTATCTGTCCTAGTCACAGCCTAGTGCCTGGTACACAATATATTTTTAGAAAAATATCTTAGCATAGGTGACAAAATGATGAAAAAGGGGAACAATTTAGAAACCTGGCTCATGTACATTTTGAGAAACAGAAAGTGGTTTTTCTAGAGCAGTGTTCCCCAAACTTATATCCCCACCAAACTCTTCCCGTACCCCTGGGGGTACGCGTACCACACTTTGGGAAACACTGTTCTAGAGTAAAGATTCCTCTGGCCCATTGAAGTTCTTCCACTCAAAGCTTCTGAGTAGCACAGATCTGCTTCCACCTTGGAGAAGTGGCCAGCATCTGCGGGGTGTCCAGGCCTTCCCGTGGCTCCCCATGTGGGCTCAATGCTCTCCTGTTTCAGACAGGACTTCACACACACGTGGTTAACCCTTATGCATCCCTCAGGTCTCAGCTTAGATATTTTCTCAGAGGGCCCTTCTCCTAGCCCCATCGTTCTTCCTCATAGAAGCTTATTCTTTATAGTCACAGTATTTGTCACAATTTTAATTATACATTTATCAGGTAATTAACTGCCTAATATCTGTATCCTGTCACAAAACTTTAAACTCCAAGAAGACAAGAACCATATCTATTTTATTCAGCAATTATTATCTCATTGCCACACTACAGTGTCTGGCACACACAGGACAGCAAGTACTTGTTTTTACGAGTGACAGCGGGAACAGGTGGTTGACAATGCATTGCAGTGCTTTCCAAACTTTTGACATATGTGTACCCCTTCTATAATTTTCGTAACGCTGAGTACCCCTCGTACTCATGAGAACGTAGAATTAGGCGTAGTTCAGCACGGTGCAGTGCATATCCCCACCAAACTCCGGTGCAATGCGTACCCCCACCAAACTCTTCCTGTACCCCTGGGGGTATGCGTACCACACTGGGAAACACTGCATTAGAGCATTAATCCTCGGGAAAGCTATTGCCATAGCTTGTTCTCTTGATTCCTTCCCAGAGAGGCTGGTAATGACCCCTATGCATCTGATGACCACCTCACAGGCAAGTGCCTGTGGGCAGGCTCTAATGAGGCAGCCCCACGCGTCCCACAAACACGGGTTTACCATCCCGTTACTTACCCTTCTGCCTAGGATCTGGTTGATAGCTGCACTTTCTTTCAGAGTACACTCGGCCACCACGTTTGCTCTCATTTCTTTCATGTATAACATAAAAGCGTTCAGAGGCTTCTTAATGTGAGGTCTCTTGGGCTCCTGCTCCTTTCTCTGTTCGTGCTGAGGCTTCCTGGAAGGGGGACGTGGTGTTGAGAGGGGTGGTGGGCAGAAGAAGGAAGAGATGGGCGGACAGGAGCAGAGCGTCTGATGACACAGCATCTGATTCTCACAAGCCTGAACACCATCAGCTTAGAAGAGCAACCCTTTGTGAGTGAGTACCCTCAGGTTTGAGAACGTTCTCTGGGAGCAATAGAAGTGTTAACACCAAATGGAAATGGGTGTGTTCGGCTGCTCCAGTTAAGGCCCTGTGCCCAGCTCCTCGGTCACCTCAGGAAAAACTGAACCTACAGTGTAAGTAGTCATTCCTCTTTCAGAAGTCAGGTTCTTAACTTGGGGGAGAGAGGCTGAAGTTTCATTCACGCTCTCTCCCCCAAACTAGTGCTTGTTGGCTTTGCCAACATTTGCAGGGCATTTATGGACTCTCTCGTGCTTCCTACCACCCCATCCTCCAGGTCTGCAATTAAGAAACTCAACTCCTAGTCTCTTCAAGGAAATTGCTGTAACAGCCTGATACAATCCTGGGTATGGTTGTCTCCTTTCCCTGGACTTCTATGCTGTTAAAGCCCATATCTTGGATGGGCACTGGACTCCCAGTCCTTTTCAGGTACCATTGGGGGGCGGGCTCCCCAACAATCAGAATCAACTGAAACCATGCAGGAATGGGCTGAGTAGCTCAAGCTTATCCTGTGCCTGTGCTCGGAAGACTACTCCATTTTGGCGAGGTTCCCTGGATCTACTGAGGTCTGTGCTCCTTTCCAATCCCAGAATCACAGTTAGGTGGCAGTGAGAATCAAGCCCGCTAGAAGTCCACAGGAAGCTGAGCTCACTGGGTTCAACAGGGAGGAAGAACGGGCTTACGTGGCAGCACCTTCGGGCGCCCACTTACACGTGCATCAGGTCCCCGTCAGTGTGGGGGTGCTCCTGCTTGACCTGAGGTGTGACAATGGCTGGGTGAGGGATGCCAGTTGTGTGGGGACCCGGAGGACCAGGAATCATGTGATGGGAAAACCTGAAGGGAGGAAAGAGAAGAAAGAATACTCACGAGCGGCCACTGCAGCCAAAGCGAGATGGCGTTTGCAACAATCCACTCACTGCTACTGGCAGTTCCACACAGGAGAATTAAGTGTATATTAGCATGGGCTGAGAATTCCTTTCCTTTCTGGGTTCAGGTGGAAAATATTTATAATTATTCCCTATATTGCAACTCCCCCCCCCCCAAAAAAAACAACAAAAAACCCCACAAAAACAAACTAATAGTAGAACCTGGCATTTTTCCTGGGACAGCTCTAGGCCACAGGATTAAAAGAAACTGAGTCATTTTACATGCAAAGCAGTTCTCAAATAATTTCATTAAGAACAATTATGTTGGAAATAAAATAAGTAAGACTTAGCTTTTCAAAGATTTTTAAATAAAAGCTAAGGAAATCACATTTAAAAAACTCTGCCGATGTTCCCAATCACACCGTCACGGTAAGAATCTTCCCGAGTGGTTGGCTTCTGTACTCACTCTAGGAGAGAACAACTGAGGAAATAAGGGACAGGAAGGTATGTTTCAGTCCCCAATTCAATAAGGTTGCCCTTACCACCCAGAGTAACTTTCTACGCAGAAAGAATGCTTAAGAGATCTCGCCTGATGGAAAACTGATAACATAATGGAGGGAAGCGTTTAATCAGAGGGAGGAATACATGGAGTTCTACATCAAGGCAAAAACTACACACGCTGAACAAAGGCTTCCCCCCCGAGTGTGCTTGCGGAGCGTAAAAACATCTTAAAATATCCACCACCGTCCAACACAAAGGAGGGAAACTGCCATGCAAGACAAATAAAACAAATAAAGGCTACTTTCAACAAGCACGTTGGGTAAATGTGCGTGTGCTTTCGAAATCTTTGCTTTTTAAACTGTTTTAAAGTAAACAATTCAGCAAGAACAACATTCCAGGTCTTTCATCACAGTCGGTACAATGTACTCCTTCATCTGGGTAGGAAAGAAGGAACTCTGCTTGGATATGTAATATTTCAGAAACGAAATTTTATTTTTATTTTTTTAAATTAAGGCAGCATGGTAAAAACACAAATAGTTGACCGAATGATAATGCTTTGCTAAATGCGCCATTTGCAAGAATACATGATGCCCGGGAAAAATTCCTGTCATCAGATAGTTCTTACAGTGTTAAAAAAAAAATAGTGTAAAAATATATTTGGTGGGAAGGATATTAATTTATCCCCTTCCAATGAGCTGAATGTACAATTTGTAAAACTAATGTGTTTTTTTTTTGTTTTGTTTTTCTCAAAAAGCTGAAATTCACCACGCAAACTGCGAATTTCATACCTACATAAAAAGTAAAGATCCCCGACCAGCGACAGGCCCAAAAGCTTGACTTCCGGCACAACAATGCTCCCGGGGAAAGCGGCACGGAACCCAGATGCCACACCACACGCGTGTGTACATCAAGCACAGGCACAGAAGCCATCCTGTCCAGAAGCAAGCGTCCCGCAGAGCAGGGGGTGCAGACGCCCAGAGCTGTGCTGGCACTGCGTCCCCACAGGGCCTGATTCACACACTAGGACCCCCCCCCCTCCACCCCCCCAAAACCCAGGGCTCTTCTGACAGCCTTGGTCCAGGAAGGCTCTGGGCCGTCTGGGCATTTGCAAACATTGTCACATTAAATGGTACAACTTTCCCCGGAGAAAGTCAAGGATAGAACTCGAACCAAACCAGACTTATATTCCCACCCGCCCCCCCAACAGTTTCCATACCCCCAGCGTATTTTGAGTAAAACAAGCTCTTAGGTTGTCCACTTTTGGGACATTTCACATCCTGCTGCCATCGGGTGGCATGGGGGTCTTCTGGAGGCACAGTCTCCCGCGTGGCCCAGCGCCTCCCCCGGGCGGGTGTGGCTGGTGCTTGCTGTTGGGGCGCAGAGGAAGGCTCCTTCCTACCCAGGAATCTCTAGGACACCTAGTGTGGGAGCCAGGCACACTGCACAGACAGACGCGGGGCTGAGCTGCGCACCCTCCGAGCCGACCCACCGGGAGGCAAGCAGCGGCGCACAAGATGCAAGCGCAGGAGGAGCAGCTCGCCCTGGGCGCCCGTTTCCACCTCCACCTACCTGGACATGGAAGTGTCGACTGACAGTGAGGATGGGTAGGGTTGCCTGAATCCTCCCGTGATGGGATATACAGGCTGACCTTGCCTGAGGTCACAGAAGAAAGGAACCCATCAATGACAAAACATGAGTAACCAACCAGCAGTCAGAGTTTGATGAGGGGAGGAGGGGGAGGTATTCAAATAGGATTTTTATTACGGACCAGCGCATTTCTTCAGTTATCCAACTGCTTCCCTTCCTAACCCTCCACCCTTGAAAAAAGCTCCCACCTTCAACATGAAAAACAAACTAGTCCATGAATTACCCATCTTTTATCCCTTCCCCTCTACCAACCCCATTAAATGCTTTGGACAGAGTAGGCATCTGATAAATGTTTACTAACTATCATAGATCCCTGGGAACGGTAAAATAATGCTTTCAGAAAAAACTAGTGGATTCGCTATCAGAATCCTTGAAAATTTTAGGAAAAAGAAGAAATACAGTTCCATATTTATATAAAAATGAGTAAGTATTTAAAGACACTGCACTCCCCGCCACAGGAGAGCAATTCATGGGGGATTATCTTCCCACTTTCTGACAAGTCAATCTCTCCCAGTTTCCCCACACCTCCCATTTTTCACATACACAGTCCTTATTTTCAGCTGCCACCGACACAAGGCAGCATAGGATTATTGCCCCTAATTAGCTAAGTTCAGACAGAATGACCATGTAGGACTGAACATGTACCCATAATCAATTACTAGTAAATGCAAACAGGTATTGGCAAGAGGGCTAATACTGCAGAGTAAGTGGAAATTTCCATGGCAGGATAACCCCTTCTTGCTGAAGAAGGGATAATGTAAGGTACAAGGTAGGGAGGTGGGCAATGACCTAGGAGAGAAAACTTTTGCCCAAGTTGGAGCACTGTTCCCATGGAGTGCTGTGGGGAGGGCAGGAATGGAGAGGGATGGAGTGGGAGCAGGGAAAGTTGTGTACTCACGATGGAATGATAAATATAAGCTACACTATAGAAAAAAATTCCTTCCTCCTAAGATATATTTTCTTTCCTTTACCTTTACAATTTAGAAAACTTTCAAGAAAGCAGTTAAGGATTTTTTTTAAAATAAATAACGAAGACCAATTGAATTCTAGGAAATAAAAAGCCCAAACATTAGTTTTGTTTGTTTGTTGTTTTTTGTTTGCTTTTCTGAACTCAAGCTGAAACTTACATTAAAATTCAAAAGATGTTTTTGTATTTTTAAATTTCTCCCAATTTGTCATTTACCTCACTTGCCATTTATAAGCGAAGATAGTATATAGATAGTCAATGTGTTTGTTTCCTTCAAATATATGTTTTCATAAAAAACCAGAAGAGAAAACCACACTGAGCACTTTGTAGAGGCATAGCACATGCCCCAAACCACAAATAGAATCCATAAAGCTATAGGCTTCAAAGCAAATGCTACAGTCATTTTCTATACATATAAGCAAATGGGTTCAATTGATTTCAATGCCTGCATGTTTTTTTAGTCTTTTAAAATGAAATGACATAAAACTAGCACTTTGCTTGTTGTCTTAAAATTTCCTCAACTCCACAGGTATTATCATTCACCAAGCTGGCTGCCGGGAGCGGGAAGTAGGAGAACATGTTCAAATGCCTGGCTGCAGTTTGCAGGGAGGCTCTTACCAGCCGAGCGGTGGGGTAATCTGTCCAACTCCACCCGGAGACAGCGGGTAAAAGGTAGGGATCTCAGGAGCAGGAGGGTGTCTGGACATGCCTATTAAAGAGAATGGAGAGGTAGACTGTTCAGATTTGTAGGACATTTGACTCTTACAGCAATGGAAAGGCAATAGAATGCTTTTTGCCATTACTTCTTAGCAGAAGTCAACAGGTTTTAAAATAGTACATCTTGTCTGGCTGGCTTGGCTCAGGGGTTGAACGTCGACCTATGAACCAGATCGTAGATTCCTGGTCAGGGGCACATGCCTAGGTTGTGGGCTCCATCACAAGAGGCAGCTTGTGATGATTCTCTATCATCATTGACTAGAGGCCCGATGCATGGAATTCATGCACGGGTAGAGTCCCAGGCCAGGTCAGCCATCAGGGTCGATCGGGGCCTTCTGGCTGCTGACTGGGGCCTTCCTTCCCTGGCTGCCAGCTCCTGGCTGGGGCCTTCCTTTGTTCAGCGCCACCCCCAGGTGGTCAGCGCACGTCATAGTGAGCAAACTCCTGGTCTCCTGGTTGAACTCCCAAGGGGACACTTTGCATATTAGTCTTTTATTTATATAGAAGATGTTTCTATCTCTCTTTATCTCTCTCCTTTCCTCTCTGAAATCAATAAAAATACATATTTAAAAAAAAATAAGTTCACCTTGAGGGATTACTGAAATAGTAAATATACTGCTAATAAAAGCCATCAAAATAAGACTTTTAAATTATTTAGTTTGCCCACATTATTTCACTGTGGTTAAGAAAATGGTAGACAATTATTTTTGTGTAGAATGGAAAATGACAGGCCTTCCTAAGTAGACGGCCTGCCTGGTGCTCAAGGATTAGGTAAATTGCTAATTTCATATTTTTATTGGCTCCCTTATGGACACACAAATTTGGGAAATGGGATACCTCGGAGAATCAAAGATTAATTAGGAATCATCTGCAGCCCCATAATGGTCACACTTGATATGATTCACTTGGTTTCTGCCACTTCAGCTCCAACTAAGCTCTTCATCAAGTTGAGTCCTCTGGGCTCCAAGGTCAACTTGCTCGGGATTAGTTGTGTCCCACAGAAAATGAGAGTGCCACCAAATTGTTTCCTGAGCTCGGACTCCCTGGAGCTCATATTGGCCTATCACTGTAAAAAGCGCCTACAGATTATACCTAATCCTAGTCCCAAATGACATCTCTTTGTTTATATCTTACCTTGGGTACAGAAAAGAAGGGATAAGATGCATTCACAAAAATGCAAAATATTTTAAACTTAGATTCAATGTATTTGGGGGGAAATGAGTGATTCTGAATAGAAAAAGACCACAACTTCTTTCTTATACAGCTAGTCTGGCTGTATAAAGTCATTTCCATATAAAAACCCACATTCCCAGGTTGAAGACTTAGAGGATGCACTCAGTGGGTGTAAATATATTGATTGGCCAGTATGTGGAGCTAGGTGAGCATATGGAGATGCTCTTAACATATTCTACATTTTTACTGTTTAAATTGATTATGAATTTCATTTGAATTTTAAAAGATGCTGAAGGCCTTAAACATATAGGAATAACTTAAGAAGTGTTGCTTTCATAGTAGATATTAATTTGTCTTTGAAGTTAGGACAAACTATTTCTCAATTCTTACAGAAAGTGGGTGGGATGGAGAAAGGTCTTTAGTCTCCCCCTCAATAGAGCTTACATGCTTTTACATGATCATCTCATGTGTAGCTGTTTTTGAAAGAATGTTCTTCAAATCTCTCTCTCTCTCTCTCTCTCTCTCTCTCTCTCTCTCTGTCTCTCTCTCTTTTTGACTAGAGATACTGCCTCTTCTGGTCACAGTAGTAACCCCCCTCCTCCAATTTTATAATCTGGATTTTCTTCTTTGGTTTGGGTGAGCTTGAGCAGCTGGGGTGATCCTAAGGCGTATCAGAATCATGGGAACCTCTCTACTGGCCTCCACCCTCACCTAAGATTCACAAATCTCCCCATTCCTCAGGGTCTGCAGGGGGATTGCTCAGTTTTGAAAAGAAAAACCAGATCAATCAAGGACTTTGGGAACTTTGTGAAAATATGCACTTGAAATTCAGGGTTAGAGGTGAGAGACTACCGAATTATCTACTTTAATTAATAGTTAAAACCCTTGGTTAGAGAGTTGAACTGACTGTTTGGGCACACACAAAATAATGGCTTGTCCTGGGCTCCTCTGAGTGGGACACAGAGAAATAACTGGCTTGCAATCACATGCCTCTCAGCAGACAAGCTTGAAAACTCTGCTGCCACGCTAGTCCATGTTCTGAGTGTGTGGAGAACACATCAGCGATTCTGCGTAGGTGCGGTTCAGCAGAGCAATATACAAACTAGCTGGACTTCGTTTTACTGCTCCGAAGGAGGAAGGAGAAAACTAACATTTACTTAGCACCTGCTATACGCCACTTCCTAAGCTAGTCTTTTGACTGTTTCTATTAAAATTCTACTCAGATTTCAAATACCCCTCTCCCATGGAATATTCTCTAACTTTTACAGCTCTGAAAAATCTCTTTCTTCTTTGAATCTACAAGGTTTTATTTGTACTTTTAACGTGGTACTCAAGATGTTCTTCATTTTCTTTTATAGTTAGTTTGTGCAAATGATTTCCTGCATGGGTTTAAACAGAGCTTGGGAAAAGAGAAACCATGTTTTGCCAATCAATGTATCAAACCAGGGTTTGTCTCCACAGGAGGCTCTCAATAAATACTTTTGAGTGACTGAACAAATGAACACGTGAAAAAAAGTGTTTAAACAGACCGATTCCCCATGCTGGGTCAACATTATCAACCATTTTGCAGGTACAGAAATACATGGTGGGGCTTAGGACACTACATGAGCAGAAAATGGATCTCTGTTTTCTAAGCAGGTTATTGTTGTTTTAAGAACCTGCTCCCAAAGATTCCTAGAAGTGTGTGACCCTCTACCAACTGCTGACTTCATATCATAATTTAACTGCTCTTTACTGGACACCTACTGTGTGCTGCAGGCTCTGCACAGCATGGCCTTAAACATTTGTAAGCTTTTACAAGTAACTTGAAGTTAGACTATATGGATATATTAATTTTGCCACTCAACTACATATCTTTGAGGAAGTGATTCATTAATTCTGTAAAATCAGAATAAAAATAGAACAGGGGTTGTTGTGAAGAATAAATACATTAATATGTGTAATACAGAAAACACTTGGCACACAGTATAAGTGATACGTTTTTGTTGTTATTTAATAGGAAATCTGTGAAAAGAAAGATATAAGTAGGTATAAATAAACCCAGCATTTCCTAAACGCTCTTTCTTTTTAATATTTTTACCAGAAATGACGAGTAGAACAAAATGATTGTTATTATCTTCCTTTCCTGTTTCTACACCTGCACACAACTCCACACACCAACACACTGACAGGAAGGTAAAAACTAACGTGCTTCCTAGTGGGAAAGCAACCTAAGTTATTTTCTTATGAATGAGAATGGGTTCTGCTGACGAACAGGTTAATTTATTGGATGATTATATCTAGTGTCAGAATATGCACATGACATCCTTTTGGTTTTCAGTTGTTGCTGTACTTTTATTTTTATTTAATAAAGCTAACCAGCTTCCTGGGGACTTTGAAATCAGTGACTCTGGCCTAACTAATGTTCTAACTAATTGAGCTACATGATAAAGCCAAAAGGCAGACTGAAGGAGAGAAAAGAAGGAAAAGCAAGAAACTAGTGAGAATGTACTCTCAAATGAATAATATAATTTGAAATCATGTAAATCCATTCTTTTCAAACCAAAGTTTATATATCCCCTAAGATACATGAAATTCAGGACAAAAAGTAATAAAAAAGAGGGTCTTTACATTAAAAGCAAAACAAAGAGTAGAATGTGAAAATAATGCAACTTTTCAAAGAAACTGCAAGCAGACAATTTCTGGGCCTTCTCTAGTTCTGGAGTTTGTTAAAAAGAGAAAAGTTTGTGAAGCAAAGGTATAATTATAATTAGTAAGGCAAAACAAGATAGGGTAGCAGTAAGTGATGGGAACAGAAGATAAAATAGAAATGTAATTGATACCCGTTTATAAACTTGTCTTTTTAAAAAATGGAACTGTCGCCAAAACCGGTTTGGCTCAGTGGATAGAGCGTCGACCTGCGGACTGAAAGGTCACAGGTTCGATTCCGGTCAATGGCATTTACACTGGTTGTGGGCACAACCCCAGTAGGGGGTGTGCAGGAGGCAGCTGGTCGATGGTTCTCTCTCATTGATGTTTTTAGCTCTCTATCCTTCTCCCTTCCTCTCTGTAAAAAGTCAATGAAATATATTTTTTTAAAAAAACTGAACTGTCTAGAATTCTTAAAGAGAAAATCTACTAAACTGATATATATTATTCCTTTAAATAAGCTCATTTTGAAGTGCTTAGAACAGGGGCCAGGACATAGGAAGCACCATGTCACTGTTAACTAAATAAATAATTAAACACTTAATAAAACCCACTGTTGGGTTCTTTCTATTAACAGCTTGTTTGAGTTCTTACAACTGCCTTTACCTGTCACCTACACCTTTGTGGTTCTCTGGCGTGTGACTCTGGCTCAGGCCCTGCCCTGGGACCGGGATATCTAAACTGCCTACCTCGAGTCGCCCTTTAGATAATTTCAATCCTAGCTCATACTTCTCATCTTCCCTCTGAAACTTGGCCTTCTTCCTAAAATGCCTTCTCCCATAAATCCCTAGACCTGTCCTTGATGTTTCTTAATCTTTGGAGGTCCCTGGTACCAGGAAATAGAGAAAGGACCGAAAATGACCAAAACTGAGGCAAACCTGGTCACCTCTGCATGGGTGATTCTTACCTTCTTTAAGTAAAGGTATGGGCTCCATTCAAGTCAAAGTCCAGTAGTAACTAAGTCCTCAAATAAGCTGCCTATTTTAACCAGGGAAGGAAGTGAAGGTGCTGCGTATGTAACCTGGAAGTACTCACAGTGGTGAACACAACTCCCAGCCCCTGAACTCCACTCTTTCCCACAAACTTAACGTCGTTTCCACTACAGGACAAAGAGAGGGCTGGACAAAGGGGTGAGGTGCTGAAGATGGTAAAAATGTCACCTGTCTATTCTCTGCCTTCACTTGGTTTTACAGAATATTTATTTCTCTCTCTTCAGTTACAGTTGATGTTCAATATTATATTACTTTCAGGTATGTGGGATGTATTTGGAACCCCTAAAGATTCTGTTGAGGTGCAAGTATGGACGTACATGGAAAGAGCACAGGCCGCCCAGGAACAAATTTAACCTCAGAGTTGGCTCTCAGTCCGAGAGACCCGCAGGCCGGGAGCCCCAGCACTCTGTGTCCACAGCCCAGCACCCCACCCCACTGGAATCCCCATTTCTCAGACCTCTGTGCTGTGTGCTTTTCTGTAAGTGATACAGAAGGGGAACTTGGCAATAATGTAGAGAAGCAAGTAAGATTCATGTTATGATTTTGTACTTTTATTATTCGTGTCTAAGTTGGTGCTGTAAATAATAAAAAGAGGATAAAACCTAACAGGTATATGACTGAAACTAAAAGAAACCACTAACGGCTCCAAAAGATAATATTTGAAAGTAAAAATCTCCTACTTTGTCCCTTTTCTAACTTTTCTTTAAAAAATATATTTTATTTATTTCAGAGGAGAGAGAGAGAGAGAGAGAGAGAGAGAGAGAGAGAGAGAGAGAGAGAGATCAGTGATGAGAGAAAATCATTGATAGGCTGCCTCCTAAACGTCCTCTACATGGGATCGAGTCCACAACCAGGGCATGTGCCCTTGACCAGAATCAAACTTGGGACCCTTCAGTCCGCAGGCCTAAGCTCTGTCCACTGAGCCAAACTGGTTAGGGCTCTAACTTTTCTTTTAACACTACCATCAACTCCTTCCGTGTTTCCCCCAAAATAAGACATCCTCCAAAAATAAGACCTAGCGCATGGAAAGATAAGACATCCCCTGAAAATAAGACCTAGCGCAACTTTGGGAGAAAAAATTAATATAAGACACTGTCTTATTTTCGGGGAAACAGGGTAGTACTGCTGAAATAATAAGTAACTGTAGAAGGACTTAAAGACTGGATTTTTAGTAAATTTGTATAACATATTGGTCTATATTGTGGAGTCTAGACTTTCAGAGCTGTCACTTTGAAAATAACCCTTCTAGGTTCTTCATGTTTTTGTCCTGAAAAATAAAAGCGCAACAACAAATTCTTCTTTTTTTTTTTTTTTTTAAAACGGCTATAAAAAATTATTCTTGTCTCCTAACAATCCATTTAAAAATTTTTTTATTTCTTTATTGATTAAAGTATTACACATGTGTCCTTATTCTCCCATTACCCCCCACCTCCCATTCATGCCCCTACACTCCTGTTGTCTGTTGTCCACTGCTTAGGCTTATATGCATGCACACAAGTCCTTTGGTTGATCTCTCCCCCTTAACCACACCCTCCCCTACCTTCCCTGAGGTTTGATGTTCTGATTGACATTTCTCTGCCTCTGGATCTAATTTTGTTCACCAGTTTATGTTGTTCATTATATTCCACAAATGAGTGAAATCATGTAGTATTTATCTTTCTCTGCCTGCTTATTTCACTCAGCATCATGCTCTCCATCTCTAACAATCCATTTTGATCCACCTGGTGACAGGGAGCAAAGGCCCCGGTGAGGTCCCCAGGCTGGCGTGGCACAGCTCCTCCCTGACTGCAGCAGACCTGGGAGGGCAGGGCTCTCACCTTGTTTGGAGTTGACATCTGACGGGATGTGTGACGGGTGTGATCCTGGAGAAAAGTGCTCGTCGCTGTAAGTGATGAGGGGGGTGAGAGGATGAACTGCATGGGATGGCTGCACCACGGGCACTTTATTCGACTGCAAAGTAACCACAAAGTCAACAGTTAACCATGGATGCCCGGCTCCTGTCTCCTCTCCCAGAGAAAAAGCCACACAATAGCAGTAACTGGGCATCAGCACAGCCGGAGAGTCCTCGCCAGACCTGGAGAGCGGAAATCAGCTGCTGTATCCATTTAGACCTTCAGAGTCTGTCCATGCTAAATATTACTTATGTCTTACTAGCCCAGTGGTTGGCAAACTGTGGCTCTTGAGCCACATGTGGCTCTTTGGCACCTTAAGTGTGGCTCCTCCACAAAATACCACGGCCTGGGCGAGTCTATTTTGAAGTGGAGTTAGAAGAAGTTTAAAAAATTTGGCTCTCCAAAGAAATTTCAAGCATTGTACTGTTGATATTTGGCTCTGTTGACTAATGAGTTTGCCGACCACTAGGAGATTATCAGTTATTTAACCAACTCCCCTATGGAGATGTAGGTTGAGTGCTATTATTCCATATGACATGAATCCTATACATATTTGTTTACATGATCTCTTCAGAGTGATTTCAACAAAGAGCTATTGGAGCAAAAGTTATGAATGCTTTATAAGCTCTTTATTCATTACATATGTCTAGCAATAAAAAAGCACTCAATAAAAAATTATTCAATGAACAAATAAATAAATACTGCCAATTTGAAGGGCAACATTTCAAACAACCTAATAAATATAAATTTGCTATAATGATATTCCATTGATTTATATAATTTATGATTCTATAAGTGTACATCTCTAAGAATCATGTTATACCACTTTAATGTGTTATAGCTTTGTCAATGAAACCTGACCATCCATTATGCTTTAGGCCTACTCAGTTCATCTTCATGATCTCTAGTTTCTAAGAAGTCTTAATTAATAAAATGAATTTCCATTCTTGTGTTTAAATGCATAATGTGAAATATAGCTTGTAAAAATCACTTTAAATTGTTAACAAATTATATTCTGTCTTGTATTTGTTTAAAAATAAATTTATTTAAATTGGAAGCCCAAAGCTACATAACATTTTTTTTAAGGTACAGGTTATTTATTTGGACTTCATCAGTTTGAAATCTGGGATCTTTTTGTTTGCTTATAGTTGAATAAACTCCTTGCCTCCTCAAGAAAGTGCACTAAGTAAATCAGTAATATAAGCAAGACCCAGGCAGTTTAACCTAATTAAAGAGATAGCCTTTTCAGAAACTTTATACCTCCTCCCCCCAAAAGACAATAAACTTGACATACTATATACACACAAAATGTTTCTGATTTTAAACACATAGACTTATTAAACCAGTCTCACAAAGATCTCTATTTGCAAACATTAAACTTGTGACTTTAAGAGGGATAAGATACAATGAACATTAACTATTAATTCACTACTTCAGACATCAATAGTTTGAATTCATGAGATTTTTACTGTACTACAGTCTAAAATGCACCTGAAATCCATTTCTCCAAAAGCGAATATCTGTATTTAAAAATTGGGGGAAGTGCCTGAAAACTGCCCTGCACAGTAGAAACTGCCTATAATACCGGTCTACCTCCGACTGGTTTCGGGCCTGACACACCCCTGTGTGTGATGGTAGCACTAGGATATGCATCATTTCGCATTTGATGTTTTTTACAAATTAGGTATAAAAAGTAAGTGGCTCCAGCAAGAAGGTCTACCCTCAGGAAAATTAGGAGCAATTATCCTAGTAACACTAAATTCTCTTTACAGCCAGTAATAGTAATTTTCTATACTCTGTCATTATAACCTCCACCCAAAAGAAACGGATGAAGGAAAAAAACGCAAGGGGGGGGGCGGGGAGGGAGAATCACCCTTTTTCAGACCATGATATGATTTTCCCGGTTTTATAATTATCAGCTCCTCTCTAATGGCAGCACTTGCATTGCTCGTATAGCCCTTGGCATTTATTAAATAGAGCGCCATTATCAAAGCCACATGCCTTTTCTCTACATACCTCAGCACAGACATCTATGCATATAAATGTGTAAAAGGTTAAAAAAAAATGTTCCAATGCTTTTCAAGTGTTAATGATGCAGTCTGCCAAACACAACGATGAGCTTCTTACATACAAGGAGTTCAGGATCTAGAGGAGGAAGGGGGTGGTGGGAGGGTGGGTGCGGAGATGGGGTGATATTGTTATAAACCCCTTTTCAAATGCAAACAAAAATCTCAACACCCAAATGCTAAAACGAATATGTTTCAACGCTCCTTTAGGATAAGAGCTTTGATTTTCATTTCAAAAGTCTCATAAGTATAGTTGCCAAACAATGCAGGAAGATATTTTCTTAGGGTAGTTGAAAAGAATAAGCATTGCAGAAATCTCCTGAAAACACTTATGCATTTTGCATGCCTTTCTTATTTCCATAGCACCATCTTCAGGAACGTGCATTAGCAGGCAGCCTCTCCTTAACGTCTGACCTATCCCTCCAGTCATGTAGCTCAGAATTCAGTGCCATGAATTTTTGCTAAATTATGCTCTCCTTGCTCTCCTCTTAATTTTACGGTTTTCAACACAGATTTGCTTTCCTGTGAGAAAGAGATAAGAAGCCAGGGATTTTAATTTAAGCTCTGGCCTTGTCTTATATTTTGCAAGATGGATAGCGTACTAGTAGTGTGTTATAGCCAACAAGGCTTATGTCCATTTTTGTGGCCAAATCAATACGAAAGCAATATGAAGTCATAAAGTAAGAGTGAGCACAATTCTCAAGTTTTATATTTGGCTCCTGCCAACCACCTCCACCGGGCACCTGAGCAGGACACGTCACCGGCATGATCAAGTGTCCTCGGCTCTAAACAGTGGGCTTCCCCTGAGAGCAGGAGGGACTGTCCTTTGACACTATGTGCATGCACAAGGCAAGAACCCAGGCACGGCCGCTCTGAGTAAGTTTTATAGACAATATAACCGTTCTTAATTCTAGCCTCAGATCTCCAAATCACCATGTGGTGCATCTTAGGTGGGGGAAAAGGGAAAGGAGGAGGAATAACCAAGTGACTGCCTAGTCTTTACAGACAGCTTGATGTAATTGCATTATAATGTGCCGTTGCGCAGTGTATGTGGGCCTATGTGTGCATTTAAGCACCTGCAATGTGTCAGGAGCGATGAGGGCGCTGATGGCCAGCACAGATGAGGCTGCTGTTCTTGTGCAGCCTCCTTTCTAGGAGCCTGGAGACAATGGACAAATACGTAAACAAGACGAGTAAAATCTCAGAGGATGACATCGAATACTAAGATGAAAAGAATGCTGGGGATAAGAGAGTATAGTAATTATATGCCTTTGTATTATGTTAACACTGTAAGAAACCAACAGTTTAAAACCAAATAGTCTAAGATTCTATTTTCTAAATCAGGAAATGGAGGTCACCAGGGAATGGGTGAGCAAGCCAGGACTGCTTTCAGCACTTAGGACGACCCAGGGCTGCTCACTACACCACTCCAGGAGCTCAGGATACCGTGAGAGTCTTGAAACCCTAGGACCTCAAGACAGTGGGGGCCATCCTTTTAGCTCCTACTCTGCGCACCTCGGATCTCACTCCATAGACACCCCTGGCTCCCGGCTCCCACACATCTCCCCACGGGGAAGGGAGAGAGGACACATGGCTTTCTTTTCCACTCACAGGTACAATCAGGTGAGTCTTAGCTTCCGGTGGAGAAGCACCAGGAGCTCCCAACGTTTGTCCTGTTTCCTTTCCCAGGTGACAGCAGGCAGTTGCCCCACCTTCATGGGATCGCCAGGAGCCTGGGTCATCCCCGGAACGCCGAGGCCGCTCAGAGGTGGAAGCAGTCAGGCCTAAGCTCACATGGCAGTAAGCGGCTCCGTCAGGCCACACCCCCTGCTATTTTGATTCCACCTAGACTACACATTCTTTTATCTCAAACAGGGGATGGGTTGGGTATGCAAAGGAAAAGAAAAAGATGGAGAGAGTGGGTCCTGAGAGGAAGGGGGCACAGAACACCAAAAGCGGACTCCAGAAGATAGCTCTCCCACTCATTCAGCAGGAAGCTCACAATCTCTTCCCAAACTCAAAAAACCACCACCAGGCTATCCTACCCACAAAGCACATCATTATTATAGCAACTAACACCATACCTTGGAGACAGGTACACTGAGGCATAGAAAGAAGGTCAGCAACTTTCCCAAGGGCCACATTCACTGCCAGTCCAGCACGCACCCTCCCGGGAGAGCCAAGGTCATAAAACCTGGGGCTCTGCACCGACCATCTGGGCCATACCTAACAGGACGCACGTCCGTGCGACTGCGTGGTCTCTGTCCCAGGTGCAGGAATTGCCTCCGACTAAGAGGTGCCTCAGTGGAAGCGGTGAGGCCTGCAGATACGCCACCGCCACCCTCTCTCCACGGCTGGGAAGCCTTCCCGGAAGCTGTGTGGTGGCCACCCAGGCTGCTCCCTGCAGGCATCGGCCTCTTTGGCATCACAGCCAAAACACCCACACGAAGCGCATGCCATTTGGGGATCCGGAGAGTCACCCTCAGCAGCATTCCCAGAAGCGACCACTCCCCCGCTGGCATGAAAGCTCTCGGCCTCTGGGTATGTGCTTCTTTCTAGAAAGGACTAAAAGGTGGTTCAGCTCCCGCCCGGCGAAGGCGAGGGCCTGCTGGTAAGTGGAGTAATTGGGGAGAAACCTGCGGGTCTGCTGGATAGAACCCATTTTGCACGTCTCCAGGTTTCAACCAAACCCACAGCACAAAGAGGATCTAACTGTGCATAAGGCCCCGAGTACCATTTCAACTGGCTGTGCATTTCACCCACAGTCCTCCCGGCCATCACTGAATCCAGGGGCATTTTAACACTCCACCAACCTGCTGAAATGAGGAATTTCATCTGGTTGTTATGGTGGTATTCAAGGTTTTATTACACTCCTAGAAAGTCTGGTACTGGTACAGTAGAAGCTCTGAAATTTCACCTCGTGTCTTCCCTCCTCCTATGAGAATCTGGGCTTCCTAAGCCTCCCCCCAAAGAGGAGCAGATCTGATTTACC